TGTCCAATCGAGTCATGATCAATCGGGATCACCCCCTTTCTAACAATTGTTTATTGTAGAATTTTCCTATTTTTACATAACGTTCTCGTTCTGATCTAAATTTTGAGTAACACTTATTCATATTTTATAAATCCAGCCTTTAATCCTTTTATAGATGCCACATACCTATGTCTGCTATAAAAGAAGCTGTAGCAGCTCTTGAAATGTTCAGTGATACTCTTTTAAAAGATAGGAATTTACTACCATATATTTCAAAGATATGGCAGGATATTAATGACGTTTTGAATAATAAATGAAATGCACATAGTGTATATATAAATGTGCGTGAAAATAGACGAGGAATTATAACTCAAATAAAATTAAACTTAAATATTGAAGAAAATAAACTTGAGAAATATAAAGATGATACAACGTCCTCCTTAGATATACTACTGCACAATCAAATACTACATTGGATATTTCTAAAGAGAATCATAATTTAAGTACATTTAATCTTTATATAACATATGTGAACTCTGGACTGAAATAAAAGCTGGATATATAGAATATAAGGATAAAAGATATGGTTGCCTTAAGCCTGGTGCTTGGAATGATGTTATTAACGATGAATTCTGGCGTCAATTTAGATTACTATGTGCATATGTATTTAAAATAGCAAAAGTTTTTTTTTCTGATAAACGTTCTTATTTTGTTATAATTAATGGGAAATGCAAAAGTAAAACCTGTGGATCTCCTTTTACTGCTTATGTAGATACAGAGGAGAAAACTTAATTATGCTGTGTATTACAAAAGATACATCGACAATTCCACATGAGAAAATAAAACGACAACTTCGTTTTCAAAAACGACAAATGATGGTAAAGATTTATTAGTTGTAGGGGCTCAAATTGGCGAAGGAGGTTAAGCATGCAAGAAATGAAAATTAGTGATATTGAACTTCCTCTTTTATATGAATCATCTGTCCTCTTCGTAAAATGAAACAAGAATATCACGACAAAACTTTAGATGTTGGTCCAAAAGACGGCAAATATCCAATTTATACTATAAGAAAAATGAAACACACATCTCCATACTACGGTAGCATACATGAAATCACTTTAGATAAAGTTCGTGTGCATTACATAACTCCAACGCAAATGCATATATACAAAGAATATTATCGGAAAAAAACTTACAGGAGAATTGCTATGGATGCAACAGGAAGTTTTATCTCAAAAATTCAAATTGCAAATGGTTTACAGAGTGGACACATATTTTTATATGTCATTGTTGTAAACGTTGATGGATTAACAATACCAGTTCATGAAATGATATCTGAGAAACATGATACCAATTCCATTGAATATTGGATTAAAGAATGGTTACGTGCGGATGCAACTAAACCAGAAGAAGCAATTTCTGATTATTCGAGAGTTTTTTTAGGTGCAATGACATCTGCTTTTAATCGAATAACTATTAAAGAATCCTATCATCATGCTATTCTGCCATTAATAATTGTAATACGAAAATTATTCGATCAGCTAATACATACCAGGTATGTAAATATGAAACCGGAATTTACCAATAGATGGCCATAGGTGTCAATGTAGTTGCCGTCAGACCGCGTCATTGACGCCATTTCCTTGTTCTGACATCT